ATATTTCAGTAATAGCAAATAATCGAATCTTCTAACCCCATAAAAGCTGTTACTGATTGATGGCGGAGATTCTATCTCGTTGGACAAGGTTGCAATTTCTTCCTCCCTGTTGGACAATTTCAGAAATAATAATTATTTGACTAGAAATTTGAAAATGGTAGATAAATATTACGCCTAAAAATTTGAAAATAATAAGTTAATATTACGCCGGAAAACTTGAAATAGAAATTAATTGATAAAATAACTTAGTTGATGAATGTGATATTAATTAAATATATTTAATATGAGATAGGAATAAATATTAGCAAATATAAATTAATATAAACAATAAATATTTGTAAAATATATCCGGCATCTCTATTTTTTAGCTTTGGTGGGGGGGGGGAGGGAGATTTGTCCCCTTGCCCCCCTCCCGCTATGCACGCTTCTGCAACATGACCTTAATTTAAAAATGTTGCCAACCTACAACCCCAGAGTAAGCTAAATATACTATAAGAGGTTAATATCAATTCACCTTGACTATCCTGCCTAGTGTTGTTAAAAGGCTCCATTTAAGCCGATTTTTAAAAACGGCTAACTCAATATTTTATTCAGATGAATATTACGCTAGTTTAAAGATTTTGCAGATGGCCCGAAGGTCTAAACATCTAATGGCGAAATCTCGAGGTTAAGGCAATATTTTTCTGGCTAAAATATTGAGTTAGCTGTTTTTAAAAATCGGCTAAAAATGAGCCGTTTAACAACACTAATCCTGCCAGAAAGGGAACCAATAATCTTACTTCTCCCTTTGCTAATATGGAGGTACTGTTCTCTATAATAAAACGATTCGATATGATTATATATTTTTTATTTTAATTTTTTGTCTGATACTAAGTTAGTATCGGTTTGGGTATCAGCTAAAAAGGTTATGTTGGTACATTATATATTTTCACTTTGTATACTGTTTTTTTAAATTCAACCTATTCATGATATGTGCACTGTATAAAAACACAAATAAAATTAAAATATTTATTGTATGATAAAAAAAAATTCATTATAATGATAAATTTAATGTTAGAATTAAATATTATAATGATAAATTTAATGTTAGAATTAAATATTATAATTATGAAATTCGTTTATTACAATGAAATATCACTTCATACAAAAAAGAGATAAATATAATTGATAAAATTGTTAGATCCTCGAGAAAAGTAATCAAGAGTCAGATAGATGATCTATTACATATACGAAATAAATATCACGTTAAAAATAAAATAACATTAGAATAATTTTACAAGCTCGATGATGATTGTTCATTGAAATCAAAAATTTACAAAATCTGGACATTTATAAATATTAAAGTAAATAAGTTTTTAAAAAAAGTTCAATTATAGTAAAAAATTATTTAAAATGTTTAAGGGCTCTTCATATTTTATGTACAAGCAAGAAGTAATGCTATTATTATTATAGTTATATTGTCTAGATCTTCGAGTATATATAATTAGATGGTTAGGGCTGGAGAGTTTAAAATATGTTTTTTAGTGGATGCAAAAGGTATTTATTAAAATAAGTGTGTAGGATAAATAATTTATTTAGAAGCCACCTTGTTTCTCTTGCGTAACTTAAAGATAAAGTAATTAAAGAATATCACTAATATTATTGGGTAATTCGACAATTTTCGTGTGGTAATAAGTCTCGATCTCTAGCATGTGTGGCATATCATAGGAGCTAACAAGATTAATAGCCACTCCTTTTCTGCCAAATCTGCCACTTCTCCCTATCCTATAATAATCCAGCAAATAAAAGGTTAAAAAATAATATAATATCTAAGCTTAATCATTAGTCAATATCTGATTTTATTTATTATTGAATGGGCTAATATAAGATTTAGTGTTATTAAACGGCTTGATTTGAGCCAATTTTTAAAAATGGCTAACTCAATGTTTAATCAGAAAAATATTATGCAACCCTAAATAGGCAATATCTTTCTTGCTATATTTTTAAAAATAGGCTCAAATCGAGCCATTTAATTAATAAGATTGTTAAATAAATAAAAAATCTTCATTATTTGTATAATAAAAAAATGGAAAAATATAAGCATAGAAATATAGACTTTCTGTTTATTGTAAAAAAATGTCTGTACAGATGTTCATAATATAAATTTAATCAAAATAGATTCATATTATAAAACTGATATTAATGGATCTAAAAAATGTTAATAATAAAAATTCAATCAAAAGATATTAATGGTTTTACCTGTGAATATAAATCTCCTTGTTAGCTGGCAGGTCGTAATTAATGACGAGCGAGACCTGTTGAACGTCTATTCCTCGCGATATCAAATCTGTACATAGTAAAATACGACTTGATCCAGTTCGAAATTCTCGCATAATTTTGTCCCGCCCTTTTTGATCCATGTTTGAGTGCTATTTATTGCAATAACATTTAGTTTTATTTATTTTATTCAGTATTGGTGAATCAGCTCTAAATTTTTAAAATTCGGTACTATCTGGCCCGAGAAGTTGGTATGGGCTTAATATATAAATATGAGTGAGATGTAACTAGTTTTAAAATGGAAGTTAACTAAGCCCCTATGCTACACTACTTGCGATTTTGCATCTAGTCTGTTAAAGGATAAGAAATCTTAAAAAGATGTCAGTAATATTAAATTAAACTTAAGGAGTTAATCATTACAAACAATTTTAGAACATGCAAAATATAGAGAATAGAGATTTACAATGGGCGAGTGTTACCCTAAAAATATGGCCTATGGTTTTTTGAAAATATTAATGCACCAATCATCCCATTTATCTTAAATAAATTGTTTAACCTATCCATCCACCTTTTATAATTGTTTAATTTGCATGCAAAATTATGAAATAAAAAAAATTGAATAAATATGCTTATTTTGTTCATTTTGCTAAAAAAATTTAACCCACATACTAATAAAAACCGACCAAATGCAGACCTCTAACTGAGAACATTTTAAATAATAAAATAGTTTTTAGTATGTATAATATATTATATAAATACCATGGCGGATACAACAAAATCTTTCTGTAAGAGGTTCGACAAAAGATAGTCAACTTTGTTTTTAGTGTTACAAAATATGACAGCTTTGGATACGTTTATGGTTTTGTATAAATCGAGAAGTGTTTCCAATTTCCACCCCTTATAATGGCATTTATGTAATAAAATTTTATTAAATTTATTAAGTCAGCCAATTTTACTGAAACTTTTATTTAAATAATAGTATTAAAATAAAAAAAATTCACTGAGTATAGCCAATATGATGTTCCAGGGCGATATGTAAACAAGCAGCCCATACGGATATCATAATTATTAGATATTTTAATAAGCATTTGGCTCATATCTTTGTCGAATTCTAACTTGTGCTTATTACTAAAACTCCAGAGTCCATAATTTGTAGGTTAGTCTGTCTGTTATGAATCCACTATCGTTATTATTTGATGTCATGTGTGGGTAAAAGAATGCTGTGACCTCATCAGCACTAATAACAAAATATTCAAAATCGAATAGGCGAGATATCAACCAATGATATAAAAGGGTATGAAATATCCTTTTATGATAATGAATGGCCTATATTCTAGCGATTATTAGTGCTGATGAGGTAAAGGTAATATATTTACACCCTAATGGACCTTCTAATTCCTTTTATCCTTCAATACCTGTCTAACTGTCGTCAATTTTTTGACCTCTTTATTATCGAATAAATAAAAAAATCTACCGACATATTTTACAAAAATGAAGATGCGATTTAAAATTACTAGCTCTATCTAACGCAAATTTATTTTGTGACAAATTGCTATTTTATTCAAACAAATATTATATTATGGAATATAAAAAATGTATGACTTATAACGCCATCAAGCGGTATTTTTATTTTAAGCATTTATTTTACTTAACTTTTTTTACCACTGAAAATTTTATATAAATGTTTCTTGATAATCTTTACTAGGAACCGCAAAACCGGAATGAACCGTTATGATTTTCTGAACCGTAACCTTAACCGAACCGTTATGAAGAAAATATTAAAAGAGCGAACCGAACCGTTATAAATCGGTTTTAAAAATAATTAATTTTAAATTATTAACCTAAATTTAAAATTTTAATTTTCCTGAAGTATATCAAAAACTTAATTCGTTAAAATTAGATATAGCAACTAGATATGATAGGTCCATATTGGGGATCAATATTCAATTTATAAATAACGGAAAAATAAAATTAAGGACTCTATGCATGAAAGTGATTAAAGAACGACACACATCAGAATATCTTAAAAAAATTATTCTAGATGTTCTAAAAGAATATGAAATAAAAATTGAGCAGATTTACACAATAACCACCGATAATGCAGCAAATATGATTAAGTTAATTAGCTATTAATACTACACGATGAAGAAGATGTAATGATGATTTAAATAATAATGATATATATAATGACGATTTAAATAATAATGATATAATTCATGATGAAAATAAAGAACTTTTTAATATTGAAAATATTAATCTTGCACCAAATGCCAGATCCATATTAATAGGTATTAGATGTGCTTCACATACATTTCAATTAATGATTGCATTAAAAATTCAAATGAAATTGTCATTATAAATAAAGCAAGAAACATCTGCAAAAAAATAAGAAATTTTACAACAATGGCTATTATCTCAAAATTAAATTTGAAAAAAACCACTAATAGATTGTTGCACAAGATGGAACTCTATCTATTTAATATTGGAGAGATAACTAGAGTTAAAAAGCTTTTGCCAAGAAATATCGCTCCAAAGCGATCGCGAAAAATGTTTATCAGAAAATGAATGGAAAATAATTAGTGACATATTAAAAGCTTTATATCCTCCAGCTTATGTTTTGACAAAATATTTACAAAGTGAACAATTGACAATGGGCCATTTTTATGCTGCGTGGATCAAATGTCTCATGCAAACGAGTAAAGTAGACACTCCATTTGCCAGACTTTTAGTTTCTACGATGAAAGCACGAGAAATAAATTTCAAAAATGAAGTTTTTTGCTCTGCTATTTATCTCGACCCTAGATATAATGTATTTTTAACTTTTGAAGAAAGAGAGATCGCCAGAAAACATTTTTGTAAAACTTGGAACTTGATACAAAATCTAAATAATCAGAATATTGAAATTCTAAATACTATGCCTACGTGTTCGTATTCGAAGGATAATTTAGATGATGATTTTGAAGATTTATTAAAGTCGCATGAAAGTCTTAATAAGAATAATTCTCAGGGTATCGAAAATTATAATAAATGTATAGAAATAGAATATATAATTCGGTCATTTGATAATATAGAGAGATTAGAAAAAGATACTAATCTTTTTAATTATTGGGAAAATGTAAAGAATAGTATGCCAGAACTTTATAAGTTAGCTATAACTGTGCTATTCCAGCTACGCAGGTCTCCGTAGAAAGAGCATTTTCAAGCCTTAAGTTTGTACTCTCTGCCCAGAGAACTAAATTAAATCCAGAAATATTATAAAATATTTTAGTTATCCGCGAATTCTCTTTTTAAACCTAAATAGTATAGTATACATATTATTTTATTCATTATTGTATTTACGCATGTTTATTTTTATTTATTTATTTATAAAATAAAAAAAAACTAATTTGTCTAATTTATATTTCCTAAATTTAATAAAAATATCTATTAGATTCATGGATAAATTAAATAAGAAATTATAAACTAAAAAGATTTTTCTCTAAAATTAATATATACATGGTTAATGATTAATTTTTTTTAAAATTAAATTTATAAAAACCGGAACAAACCGAAAAGAATCGTTATAAATTATAAACCGAACCGATATGATTTTTTTTAAAAACCGAAATGGAACAAAACCTTTATAAAATTTTAAACTAAAAACCGGAACGAACCGAACCGTCATACTAAACGGTTCGAAACCCTGCTAGGGATGTATCGATATTTTTTATCGGATCGGGCCGATATATGGTTATTGGCAAATATTATAAAATTTTCCGATCCGATAAAAAATGCGTTTTTAACAAAAATAAAATATTATAAAAAAGTTATCTTATAAATAAAATCGAAATTCATTTTTATGTTTAATTTTTTAATAATAATAATAATTAATTAATTAACATTCTGCCATATTGCGCATTCTTATAAGTGTGCGATAATCTCTTCAGAATCTGTTTTTAGTGAAATTGACAGTCCCCATCTCCGCAGACTGACCTTTGATAAATTAAAAATTTTGGTATTTCTAAAAAGAAATCTTCGATATATTAACTTAAATATTTATTTCAAATTTCATAATATATATGTTTACTACTTATTATACATATATAAATAAGTGAATATACTTTTAGAATTGTAATTGAATATAAACTATAACTGATCAATATAATATGTTTAAATGACATAAGTTATGGTGTACTTAAATTATAGATGTTATACTAATAAAAATTAAACCATTGGTATTTTTACAGAATACAAAATTATATATGATATCGGATCGTTAGTCGACCGATATCAATTTAATATCGGATCGAATCGGATCCGATATAAAATGGCATCGGTACACCCTTACACTTTATAAAATATCTGAATTGGAAAAAATATTTATATTAACCTATAATGTAAAAAAAATAGTAACAAATTTTTGAGCGCAATTTTAAAAAAATTTATAAATTAAAAAAATTTTTTATTCGAAATATGTGGAAGAGTTTACTTAGTTCCATAAAAGGATATTAAAGTTATCCCAATTTTATAAAATGATTTTTTCAGAATGACCAAGCAGAGACATTTTGTGACCCTATATCTCCAGTTTTAGTAGTTAAGGGGCTAATATTTTGGATTCGTAAATTTTGCAGACCTCTACTTATATACCAAATTTTAGCAAAATCTGAGATGGTCGGGATGTAAAGTAATTTATAAAACTTTATTATAAAGATTCTTAGATATAACGCCATCAATATTATATTTTTTATTTATAACATAAATCAATTTAAATAAAATTAAAAAAGAAAAAAAGCTATTGATTTGTTTAATTAAATAGTCAAATATAAAGGTAATAGAAATTTCTGGGCAATATCAACCCAAAAAATCCCTTCTCAAATTTTTATCTTTAACTGAAATAAGAAAACAATTGGAATTTTTAATATTTTCCAAAAAAGTAAAATTTTAAGGGCTATAAAATCATGTAATTCTAAGTATTTTTTAAAAACAATTAATGAAATTTGAGGTAAATATTTTTGGATTCAGATGAGCTAACAAAACGGCCAAATTTTGGTCGATTTTTAAATGAAGTCCAATTATGATTTTAGCCAAAATAATATTATGCAAGCCTCGAGATTGTTTAATAGAGGTCCAACCCTTTCTGCTATCTATGAGAAAAACCTCCAGGCTCATATAATATCTTGGATATATTCTTAATCAACCATTTTGCTACGCTCTAAAATTTTGATTTTATAACAAACATTTTTAAGATGGTCATCTGAAAGATTGGTTGATTTGTGGAATGACTCATTTAGTAAATATCTATTTAATATAAGATTATGAAGGCTTTTTAGTAGCTTTTATCTAAGGTTTCACAAATTGCTTAAAAACAAATATCGAAAAATTTCATAATGCTTAAATGGGGATTTTATTAAATTTTCTTTAGAATAATTTTTTTACTAATGCCTAATGAGTTACAATTTTAAACTTTATAATAAAAAGCGTTTTAATGTCAAAAAACCAAAAATACAAACCATAAAAAATAAATATTATAATTACTAATATATACTATGTGAATTTATGTCTTAAAAAGGGATAGAAATTTTAAACCTTAATCTAGTGATGCTAAACGACTCGATTTTTAATAACGGCTAACCCAATATTTTAAATAAAAAATATTATGTAAGCCTCGAGATTTCGTTAATTAATGTCCAAATCTTTCTGCCATCTATGGGCAAAATTTCCGGGTTTGCGTAATATATTTTTGGTTAAAATATTGGGATAATTTTAAAAATCAAGCTTAACAACACCCCTTAGTCAAACAATAATCTTAGAAAATTTATGTAAATCTCAAAACTTGCATGATTTTAACGGGAACTATTCATATAATGGAAGATAACCAAAATAGCAAGGATTATAATAAAGGAACACTTTAAAAATAA